TTATTACTAGTCACAGTCGGTTACTTTCTGAGCTCCTTGGCATCTAAGCATCTGTTTTATTTTTTGTGAGTGCTACTCTGTTCTATATAAGTATTAAAATATAATGCCCATATTAGCATTTCATGTTTTTAGAAAGTTGGGTGAGCATTGCTTTGTACATCTAATATTTCTTTTTTACTAAAATTGATACTAAAGAATTGTTCTAGATATTCCCAAATTTATTTTATTTTTATTTAAAAACTTGATGTACCTTCTACATATAAAGAAAGTATATTCAACTCCTAAAACCAAAAAGAAAATGAGACATATTATTAAATTACAATTTGCAAATTGAGACTAATATTTTATCAATTGGGAAACAAGAAAATAGAAATAATGTACTTTTTTACTAACTACCTTGGGTATAGCTGTAACAGTACAGAGATAGATAACTATTTTCTATATTACTCAAAGATAACTGCAACTCAATTTATTTCTCTTTAATTAGAAACAGGTTTGAAAGAACGTCCCAGATACATTGTATAAGTTTGCATATGTTCATTTTTAGCTATTGAAATGTAGTTAATGAAGACATGTAATAAAATTTTAGGGTATGTTCATTCCAGAATTATAACAATTCTAATTTTTGAGGTGTATAAACAGCTACAACCATAGCTTTTCCTTTCTTGTATAGTTTGTATTGGTCAAATTTCCATGAAGCATAATAGTTATAGTTCTAATGTTTTAATTGTGAACATTTAGTGACATGAATATGTTATATTATAATGTAACTGGAGATCCAGTTATGAAAATGATGATCTCTTGCCAAAACTAATTCTGGCAAGCAAGATTGGAATGATATACTAAATTCCAAGTCATAGAAACAGCACCTCAAAATAAGAAACTGATGATTCAAGGTTGGCAGGGTCTCCTTGTGCTTAATTTCAGACCTAACTTGAAAGCTGGTCATAACATTGCTTAAGAAGAATTCCTTCTTCCAGTCTGTTCCCAGAGTTCCAAAATGTAATGGAGATATCCAAACTATTGTGGAAAATTACAGTTTGGGAAAATTAGTTCAAGAGATGAACTTGGAAGTCACCAATAAGCATGAGCCATAAATGATAATAGAAGCAGTTGTGAAAGACTTTGGACAATTTCTTTCTGAGAAATATTTGCCTGACCCATTTTTTTCTTTTAAAAAAAATTTTAACACTTGTTAATGTTCATTAAAGACATGGATTATTTAAAAATGTAACCACGACTTTACCAAATTCATGAGAACAACTCAATTTTGATTCGTTTCTTCTTTTAGCTTGCATAACCTTGTTGTGAGTTTGTAAGTTCAGCTCACACAGTCCTTACAGCTTGATAATATTCTAAAAGCTCCCTAATAAATACAGTAAAGGTCCTAAGCACTAGTTTATGGTTTCTAATCATAAGGCACTTGAAATTTAAGTAGCACAATTTTCTGGACATATTTGTAAAAGAGCTACTGCAGATTTGAATGAGTAGCATTAGAAGTTGACTATATCTGTTTTATTTTGCAAATTATTAAATTTAGGAAAAAGAAAACAGTGAATGAATATTTGAGTAGTGAAATGAAGTTTCTGAGGACAAACAATGGGAAAACTGTAGAGGTGATGGACACTGCCTACATCTGGCTTTGATTATTTAAATGATTTTCATTGTTCTGTAGCCATAGAATCTGACTCACTGGAAATTGATGTATGGCTGCCACCCTGTGCATGTGTGCATGTGTGTGGTGTCTGTGTATGTGTGTGTTTATGCATGTTTGATGTATTTCTAAAATTTGCATAAAACTATTTGCAGTGTAATTTAACAATCTCACTTTCCAAAACAAGAAATCTGCATAAATCACCTGATCTAGATAATAGAGATATTTCCCTAGATGCCTTTCAGTTCACTTCTTGTTAGGTGAGTGCACACTCATTACAGGGAAGAAATATGTTCCTGGTAAGATTTCAAGAGTAACATAAAATTAAGCAACACCATAGTTGCACAAAGTCCCAGATACAAATTAGAATATTTCAGTGTGCCTGAATATTCATATGATGACCTCTCCCAAATGGACACAGTTTTTCTGATACTTTGTTATATATTAAGGGAAAATATCAGCAAATAAGGTATATAATAGTAAAGGAGAAGAAAGTTTTTCATTTAACAATAAATGCTGCCTACACCTTACTATAGTTATTATTATTTAATTTGCAATGTTTTTTGTTTGTGCCTTTCAATGCCTTTTCCTTATCTGGTTTTGCCACAGGACTGTTCTTCAAATATATCTGCATGTATTTCTCCTTTCTACTAAGTGGAAACAAAGATATCGACAGAAAATGGAAAAAAAAATTGGATTGCGTGCTAGGCAATGCTCTTATTATCCTAGAGAAAGCCAGATGCTTATATTTGGTTTGTGTCACTGTGGCAAAATATTTGACATAAAAACCTAAATGAAGGAATGATTTATTTTGGCTTACAGTTTTAGAGATTTTAATTCATAGCAATTGACTGTGGATTCCAGGCCTGTGATATGTGTAATAAAATTAGGAAAATATTTAAATATCTATTGTAGCCTAACCTACAACAATAATCCTTCATTGCAGAATGTGAATGATGAGCCTCCTGTATGCAAACCACCACATCTGGAAACTGAGATTTATTCCACTCTTAGAGGCCCTTTCATTTACCTCAACTGTTCAGACAAAGATTCTCCACAGGAGCATCTAAGCTATTCAATTGTAGGAGGTAAGACATGTGAATTCAAATTGGTCACTGCTTCCAAGATATTTTATAATATTTTCATGTGGAATATTTTATAACTATTGGTAACATATCACGCAATATATTTTTAAATTAAAATTTAAGCAAGATGATGGAAATAACAATTCATAATGTGGTTTCAAATGTTTTATTACCTCATCATTCATAGGAAATACAAACAATCAATTCACACTTTGGAGACTAGGTGTTGAGCCTCCATTTCTGGCCACCAGGCAGAATTTCCAGTATGATCTATTTCAAGGAATTCAAGACCCGGTGACTTTCCAGTTACTTATTGAAGTCACTGATGAATTAGGTGGGAATACAGCTAGTCAGCTGACAGCCACTACTACAGTCATAATTCATATGCTTCCCTGGACCACAACACAGCCGACTTCTTCCAGAGAAACAGCTACAACTACAGTAAGTACAAGTGATGAACTGCAATTTTGAAGTAGATTGAATTAGTCTTAATCTTAGAAAGTTCTTGGGAACTCTCACAGGAGTAATCTTATTGTTTTGGCAGTGAAAGACATAAATGAAACAGTTAATTTAATACAGTTAAATTCCCACTTCAAAATAAGAATGCATTATCATAACTGCTAGCCATTAGTTTTGAAGCAAGATAAATATATAGAAGTTAATCATTTTGTGATCTTTTCCTATTTAGAATTCTTAATTCTGTTGAGTCTTATCTATTGTGCCTTTATTTATTTAGATTAGTACTTGGGCTTGTCAAGGTTATACACACACCTTTAATTCTAGCACTAAGAATGCATGGGGCAAGTGGTTCTCTGTGAATTGGAGGTCAATCCGGTTTATATGAAGAGTTACAGGCAAGCCAGGGCTACATAGTGAGACCCTGGCTTAAAAGAATAAATACTTAGGAATAATGTGTCATGGGAAAAGCATCATTTTCAGTGTTAAGAAGGTATTTAACAACTTTTTTTCCTGTAATGTATCAGACTCATGGGAAGAAAGGATGTGTATTTTGTTTAGATTAGATTAAGCTACTATAACAAAAGTACAGACTTAGTGGCTGAAATAGTCAACATTTATTGCTCAATAGTTCTGGAAGTTGGAAAGTCCAAAGTCAGTGCAATAGCTGAGTCAGTGTTGGGTAAAAGCTCTTGTTTCCAGGTTCAAGATTCCATCTTACCACTGTATCTTCAAATAGAAGAAAGAGGACTAGAGAGCTTTTCAACATTTTGTGAGTACACTAATGCCAGTCATGGGGGCACCACACTCAAGACCTAAACACCATACAAGACCCCATCTCCTAACATTGTTACATTGATAGGATTTTTTTTTGTTGTTCTTTTTGAGACAGGGTCTCCCTGTAGCCCCAGCTGTCCTGGAACTCACTATGTAGATCAGGTTAGCCTTGAACTCACAGAGATCCCCTGCCTCTGCCTCCCAAGTGCGGGGATTAAAGGCATGTGCCACCACACCCGGCCATTGATAGGATTTTTAACACGTGAATTATGAGGGAACACACACATCTAGTACTTAACACAGTGATGGTACAGATGTTACTTAGATTTGAGGTTGAAAGTAAGGTAAATTTACTGTGGGAGGAAAATAATTGTGTAGTTTTTCATGAAAAGACAGCAATATTTTTCATGAAAAGAGAAGAAAACCTTCTCAGGGATAGGCATAGGATATCCTGGAAAGAATATGACATATCCTGGGGAAACTTGGGAAGGTGATGATGCTACAGGATATGTTCCTTTCAAGACCAAAGAGGGTTGAGGATGTAGCTTAGTGATGAAGAGAAAGATAATGCATTAGGTACGTAAAATACTAGAACATGAGTTTTTTTTTTTTTTTTTTTTTTAATGCAGAGCTGAGGACATGGGTTGTGAAGAAACAAACTGAAATTGTAATCATTTTTCAGCAGAAAAGAGAAACTAATTTGCAAATAAAGAGAATGTGTTAGTGTGGTAGAATTGGTTTATGTGAACCTTAGACAAGTTAAAAGAGTCAAGCCATTATTTATACCCTCTCCTTCACTAAAATGACTTTCATGTTCTCCATGTAGTTGTGCTAACCCAAAGACATGCTCATAACAAACCAGTTATTTGTTGAAAAAGTTACAGAGGATCTAGACCATTTCTTGACTTCATAGGCAGGAAGTTTCATGCTAGCTATAGAAAACCATTAAAATACAGATTTGAATGTTCTTGATCTAAAGAAATTAAATTTAATCAAGGTAGAATAGTACTGTTAATTCTCCCAAGAATTTAAAAGAGCGAACTAAAATTTTCTTTGTGAGAAATTAATAATACAATAGTTTTCCAATTATTTATAACACAATTTTAAACCAGCAGATATGTCAAATGATTGAATGCAGTCATGCACATAAGAAGAGACTTCAGTTGAAAGATGTCTTAGTCACTTTTCTGTTGATGTGATAGAAACACTGACCAAAGCAACTTATAAAATGAAGAGTTTATTTGAGCTTATGGTTCCAAGTGGAAAGAGTCCATCATGGTGGGGAGGGATGGCAGCAGAGGTAGCCTGAGAAGAAAGAGAAGCTGAGCTCTAATATCTTCAAGCAGGCACAGGAAACAAGAGAGAAACTCAAGATCCAGCAAGTCTTAACTTTCTTTTTAAAAATTATTTATTTAATAACTACATGATTAGAAGAAGGATTTCATTACAACATTAATACATTTAATAACAATTTCAAGAGCAAAGATGCATCTCTTTTGGAATTGGCTGTAAATTTTGAGGTTCACAGATGAATTAATACAGTTACAAAATATCAAACTCAGTATAAATCCTACAAGACATAAGATTGAAAGAGGTTTTAACCTTTAAAAAAGTTCTCCATTTCATTTTAAAATATACTGTTTCATACAGAAAACCTCATTTTTAATGCTACTAACATTTAGATGTTTGCACATGTTTCTAATCTCTATGTATCTGATTATCACTAGTCACAGCCAGTTACTTTCTGAGATCCACCTGAACATGGATATAAAATCATCAGGTAGATTCAATGTTAATGTGTTTCACCTATACTAATTAACGTGGAGCAAATGTTTATGCTTCTTCCTCAAATATAACTCATTTTAAAAAATTTGTGGGTTTTTTTTTTTTTTGTATTTCATACAGAACATCCCAAACAATCTTATTCCTCTATATACCCACATCCTAAATGGCACCCTCCCACCGCCCCCCGACCCACTGGAGTCCATATACTCTGTAATCCCTGTTACTGGCCACTGTGTTGTCGGTGCCCCCAGCTGTTCCCCAGTTCTTGCCCATCTGCTTAATCTAGTCAGCCTATCTAGAGTTCCTTGTTTAAGGAAGATCATCTCTTCCTCCTATAGCAGCAATCAGTTGCCAACATTCCTTTAGACAAGATTGGGGTCTGCTGTTCATTTTCCCATTTCTATCCTGGATTACTCTCTGGGAGTCTCTTGGGCCACCCTGGCCAACAACTCAAAGGAAGGTATCTCCTTTCTGGCATTGTTTCCTGTTATGTAGCCTTTAGCTATCTATACACATGGACTCTTGAAAAATTATATTGACCTCTTTAATCTTTGGTTACACTTTCCTTTGGGGTGTTTAAGACCATAGAATTGGCCCAGATAAACCAATTTATTTTTACTCTTAAGGTCATTTGAGGATCTGTTCCTCAGGGGTCACATGGGCTTGGGAGAAGCCCCTGACTCCTTTCTTTTACCAGTTCCATCTATGTGCCGATAAGTCAAAGGTCCTGCTAAACTGTGGCTGGCTTCACTTGGAACCATAGAAGAAATGTTTCCTCTGTTGATCCTCCTTTTTGTAGACTGGGCACTGGTTGAAGTCCATTTGATGTGGTCTCCATGGCCTCCTTGATCAAGAGGACAGGTGAATTGCCAGTTACAGGACATTTTGAGAGATGCTTATAGTCCCTCGGAGCTTAGTTGACCTAGGAGGGCAAGGAGCAAAAACTGCCCTTTATGTCCCTCTGACCAAATTAGTATAGGCCTCAAAGTATGGCTGTCAGACATCCAAGAAGGTTAGTTCCACCAGTCTGGTAATTTTAATTACCATGCGCTATGTAGGTAAAGATTGGGCAAACACGAAACATTCTCAGATCATGTATTATATTCCTTGAGCTAGCTGTTATGTGTAATTTGTCAGTAAGTTGTTGGACTAATATGGTTCCCTTTGGTTTTTAAAAACTAACTAGGCATTATTTATATCTTGCATTGTCTAACACTTCTACCATGGTTTCCCCACTTAAAGTGCCCTTGATTTTTCCCATTTTTCCCTTAATACCCTTCTTCTGTGGTCCCACCTGTCTTGAGCTCCTTCTTTCTCTTTATCCCCACCATTCCTTGTATAACCCTCCCTACCCCTCCCCTTAAAATAACCCCATTTTTATCCATATTTCCCTTATCAATGCCTGTTTCCTACTGTTTTTCTCTTTCAGATTTTTTCTTTTCCTTTACCTCCCTGGTTCCTTTTCATTATCCTGGTTCCTGTAGTGATGTCTGAGTACATACTCACTTACAAGGATTTGGTGCTTGGATCCACATATGAGGGAAAACATACGTCGTTTTTGTTTTGTTTTGTTTTGTTTCTGAGTCTGTGTTACTTCACTTAGTGTAACAGATTCTAGTTCCAACCATTTACCTGAAAATTTCATGATTTCATCTTTCTTTACTACTGAGTAAAACTCCATCATATAAATGAACCACATTTTCATTTTCTATTCGTCAGTTGAGGGATGCTTAGGTTGCTTCCATCTCTTAGCTATTGTGAAAAAAGCAGCAACAAACATGGATGTACACGTGTCAATGCAATAGGACGAGTTCTTTGGGTGTATGCCAAGGAGTGGTATAACTGGGTCAAATGTTAGGTTCACTTGTAGTTTTTTAAGAGTTCTCCACACTGCTTTCCATAGGGGTTGAACAAGTTTGCAGCCCCACCAGCAG